AACAAGCCGAACACGAACACACTTTTTGAGCTCAAGCTCGTGTTCGGCTTGTTTACACCCCTACTTGTATCGTGAATTTTTTCATTTTTTTTAGCTGGGATATCATTGTATAAATGTGATAAAATTTAATGGCTTATGCATAAATTCACATATAAATTTTTCCAATAAATTCAGCCCATTCTTTTTCTCTAGAGTTTTTCTTTTTTCTTAATATCAGAACACTACATCAATAATATTACATGGATAAGCAAAAAGGTCCAGGAATAGCTTTTTGGTGTAAATATATATATATATTTTTGGATAAATATATGTTCAGCTTATGTTAATATGCATATAATAACCCTAAGTTGGGGGTACGAAATGTTTTTGTATGTGCCCAACATCTCATCATTATGCTAGCAGAGCTCCAGTGTCGAACTAGTTGCTCCCTAGTGCCCACAAGATAGTGTTATCATGCTCAATCTAGTTTGAGAACCCGAGAACATGACACTGCAATGCTTGGAAGTTAGTGTCGGTCCATTGGAGAGTCGCAACGCTACCATCGTGGCGTCGTGGCATCAATAACAACTTAACTTCGGATAGCTTTTCACTTAAAATTTTGGTTTTGTCAATTGAAAGTTGTTGATTTCGATGTTTCTATTATGCAAATGAGAGGAAAGGAATGTAGGCTTGAGTGTGGCGTGATTTGTATGTTTCTTCTCATTTTCTTCATGGGGAATTTCTTAATGTGGTGTGGCTCTGAATTCGTTTCTTGTTCTCAGGCTTTTCACGTTAAATCTTATGCAATTCACATGTCTCACTACGAGAAGCGTACGAGAAAATGATCGAGTTGTAGCTCAAGCTAAAGCTTTTGAATATGTTAAAGAATTCCTTCAATGTTTTTTTAATAAAAATAGAGATTATATTTGGCCATTAAATCATATATTACTTAATTTAATTCAATCATTAGTATGTGATCATGATGATGAGCATAGAGCTCAAATTTTTCTTATGTTCTTTTTTCTGCCATTAATAAGCATTCTTAGTACACCATATTATATAAAAGCAATATCATTAGCTTAGAGAATATTAAGAGATAAATGTTATTATTAATAGTATTTCAATAATAGTTTTGTTTTTCATATTAATTTGCACAACATAAATAGTATTTCAATAATCATTATAATAAGCAATCATATTTTATAAGTGGCATTGTGCGTAGGTTCATATTTAAGTTATTTTATTAAATCTGTTGAGAAATTAGGGCGAAGAAAAACAGAAATTGACACAAATTCAGAAGAACACAAAGATTTAATGAGGTTCGACAAAGATGCCTACGTCCTCGGGAGCAGAACGGCGAGCTCCTTCCAATATTCAGAAAAGAGATTACAAAAATTAGGGGTAACACTTAGGGTTACATACATGTCTATTTATAATCCTAGAAAACACTGGAGTACAATATGTAATTACCAAATTACCCCTGTACCTCACCCCCAACCCACATAAGGAAACTCTCCTGATTTGGACAGAATCTTCTGCTCCGCTCCAGAATCTGTCCCATTATGGTATATGAGTCATATCCAACAAAATATCAACATAAAAAGAATGAAAATAGTAATTTTTTTATCAGATATTCCGATACAAATACGTATCAAAATCAAATTCAAACATCAACATAAAAAGAATGAAAGTAGTAATTTTTTTATCAGATATTCCGATACAAATACGTATCAAGAAAAGCTTAGAAAATAACATGCGTTATTTCTAATTTTTTTTTCTTGTAATTTTTTTATCAGATATTCAGTTATATCAACAAAGGGCATTTACATTTATACCACATACTTCTTATGTATTTACATATCTAACGGCTAAAATTTGATCTTTACATTCATAACACTCAAAATTTTCATATCAAGTCAAAAGAACCGTTATTTCTAATTTATCAAGTGTGAAACATTTTGTTTTAGATGTTATTAATTATTGAAATTTGACGAGAATATCATTTTTCCTTATCTTGAAGTCTACATTTGAATGGTCAAAATCTATTAAATTATTAAGGAAGATTTACATAAATACCACTTATTTCTTATATCCTAAACTTTTATTTTTACTAGCAAAATCTTACCCCAGGTCATCTTTGCAAGGATAGAAGATTACAATTTCTCATAGTACATGACAAGGAAGCAGAGAGTGAAAAAATAGAGATAGCTATAGAGGAGGAACACTCATTTTTTCTCACCTTGAGGACAGTTTCTTTTTTTAGGGGGGGCGAGTATTGTCATGAGGGCGCTTAGCCTAGCAATTTGACTTTTGTATGCTTAAGAGTAATTTAGTCGTTTATTTTTATTATTATTGGGTATAAATAGTCCTATTATTATGTAACACCTGAACTTTATGTTTTACATTGATATATTATGTCTGGATAATCGAAAGTAAAGACGATGACAACGTGATGCAATTCACGCCATGATTCCTCATTAGCACCCAAATATATCCATTTTAACAAACTCAAACGTAAGAACATTTATCTACATTCAACCCACCACTACTTCAACCTATAAAAGTTAAATACATCTTTTCATGCATTGATAAGCTGACATATATGTAAAAATTAAAATTTAAGATGTTAGACATGTAAATAAATATGAATAGTGTGTGTGTATGTAAATCTTCCTAAATAATTTTTTTGCATAAATCACCTCCTTGATGTAATAATCCATTAATTATGTACTGGCCATTCCACTTAATCCCAAATTATAAGCCCATGCAATTATCAACATGCAGAATGAAATATCAAAAGATAATTGGAATCTCATTGAAAAATAATACAGTAGCAATAAGAACATGACAATAAGACATCCTGACCTCAAACTTCTTCACAGAACCAACACAGTTTTAGTTCTAACCACAAGAAAGAGGAAGGAATCAGCTTCTGATTGAGTGCATCAATGGCAGATCAGATAAGAATCCTCTTCTTAGCCAAACGAAGCAGAGAACGCTTTCCTAATCTGTCCCCCCTTATCCAATTCGTCTGCTCGCAATCCTCTCACCGCGATCGGAGTTGAAGATCACATTCGACCAGTTTAATGATCTGTGCACGATTCTCGATGGAATTATATCACTATCTTCACCTCCAGAGGCTTCGTACCCATCACTGGTGGATCTAGAGAACTCCGCACTTCTATGAATTTCTGCTCCCGCGCTAGCAGATGGTAGAGATATCGGCCCCTCCGAATCCTCCACTCCCGACGACGAGATTCGAAAGGGATTAGGTTCCGGCGAGTCTAAGCTACTGTCGGGAGAGGATGTAGGAACGGCGGAAGAAACCGCTCGGATTGACCTAAAGGCGCTTCGAGCTTCAAACTGGAGCGGAGCTAAGCCGCTCGCAAGCTCGTCGGTGTTGATATGGGTAACACCTGTTGATAATTTGGCGGATGATTCGATCGGGAATTCTGTCGGGAGTCTGATTTCTCTGTTGCTGCTTCTTTTCCGATTGTCAGGATTTGGAACCGGAGGAATCTGTTTCACGATTGGCTGCAGATTCCTCGCCTGCGCGGCCACTTTCGAAACTTCGTCTGCGTTCAATCGGGCCAATGCCCAAGTACTGATTTTGATGTTTCCTGTGCTTGCATTGTGAGCTTCATCTGGAGTTGTTTTCTTGCCATTAAGGTTTGATGATGCCTTGTTGAGTTCTTGAGGAATGGCATCGGACTGAGACGATAAATGTATCTTGTTAGATAGGGACATTTACATGAATAACACACATTTTTTATGTATTTACATATCTCACACTTAAAATTCAGCATTACAATCAAATCCATAATATCACAAAAAATAGCACTATTATCACTTAAAATTCAATATTTACACTTAAAAGAAGTAAATTTTTTGCAATCATAATATCACAAAAAATTGCACTATTATCCCTATCTCACACTTCATTTTTTACATGTATGCCTTAAAAGAAGTAA